GAGCTTAATACATTTTAGTTTCATAACTGTTTCTTCAGTCTTCAAGGCAATTGGAGATGCCAACAAGCCACACTGGCCCGTGACCCCAGAGATCAAAGGCACATGATTGTTTTGTCTCTGCCATTAAATGTGTTATAGTGGGGACACCCTAAATGGGTTTGTCCTCTAGGTTTAAAAGGCACTATTCTTATAAAGTGAGGTTAGATGACTTCTTAATCTAAAAGTTTCATCAGATCATATGATCTTTTAAATAAATTAATTAATTTGATAATGCTTTATTAGGACCTCCTATAGGAGAGGCCCTAGGTCAAGCACCAGAGATTCAGAAAAAATAATACAAATCTTGCTGTCAAAAAGCTCATAATGAAATGGAGGCAAAGGTAAAGAAAACTAATAATTGTAACACATGAAACGTGGTGCAACTGAGGGGAGTACAGGGGATTAAGGGAACTCTCTGAAGGAGCATCTACTCCAAAAGGGGTCCAGGTGGCCACACGACCCCCCTGAGGAGAGGCAAAAGAGTGAACCCAACAACACAAACAGCATTTGTTGAGGGAACAAGGAAGTAAGTAAAAGGGCAACACTAGGGTTGGACGGAACAGTCCAGTGGTGTGGTCGATATTTGTTGTTGTTTTCGTGATCCACGTTGGACTCCCTTCCTTTTTCTGAGAAACCCTCATTTTGCAAGTGTTGGTAGGAGTTGGCCTCTCTCCCACTATAAAAGCTGGAACCAGAAGTTCCCTCTCCCATGGGATGCAAGGGGTAGATATACAATCTAGCATTGATGAATCAGATGGTTTATGTCTGGGATTTTTGAATGTTCAGGATGACCAAATATTTGGCCACATCAGAAGTCTCAGCAGTGACAGAACTGAAAAATACAGAGAAGGAAAAGGCCGTGGTGAGTTCCTTACCAGGAAATTCTAGGATATGTCCTCACTGCACCTCCTGATGAATTTTAAGAGGAGGTGTGAACGACCTTTCTGTGGAGGTGTGAACTACCCAATATACTCTCAATATACTTCTCCTGCTTATGATAGCAGGAATCAATTTCCATTTCTTGTACCCAAGAATCCTGATGACAGAGGTGGTTATTATCATCATTAGGGTACAAATGCTGAGAGCTCTAAGCAGAGATGGGGGAGATACATTCAACAAATAATGAGGAGGTTGAAGTGTCAGGTAGAATCTGAGGATAAAGAGCGGTGTCAAGGATAACTTGGAGATTTGTAATCTGGAAGCCAAAGAGAGCAATGATCAGTGAAAATACAAATGGAGGACCAGATTTACGGAGAGTAGGAAATGATGGGCTCAGTTTACTGCATTTGAGGTGACTACATGACATTCAAAGCATCGTGTTTACCAGCTGCTGGGTGTACAGGTGGTTCTGGGAAGAGCCCAGGCTGGAGAGTGAGGAGATTAGAAATCAACAGCTGGAAAGGGGAAGAGAAATTGGGAGAGTGTAGTGTCATAGGAACCAAGGAAGGAGTTGAGGGTTGCAGAGACATTGGCCTCCTAGTGTCCAATGCTGAAAAAAAAAAAAAAAAAAGTCAATAGGAAACTGCAAGGAGGCTAGTTGCTAGGGAAAGGAAGCTGGGCATTGCTATGTGACGTAATTTCTTGGACAGTTGGACACTTAGCATATTATATATATATATATTTCACCTCTTACTGGATATATGTTGGATATACAATGAAGAATAAAACAGACATGGTTTTGCCCTTACGGGCTTATGGTTTAGAGAATAGATGCTAAACAATGCAGTGAGTGGCACTGAGGAAAGAATAGGTGCTCTGAGAAAGGACAATAAAGGATCCTAATTTAGGTTGGAGATTCAGGAAAAGCCTCCAACCAGGGAATGATCAGGAAAAGGGGTCAGGTGGGAGAAGGATATTTCAGGCAGAAAGAACAGCAAGTGCTGACACCCTGAAGTAGGGAGGTTGAGCACATCTACACACAGACGTGAAGGAGCCCGGGGAAGACATGCAGCAGACTGGTATGGTGAGGAGCCCGCGGTGGAAGGAGTGGCCTTCTGCAGTGAGAACGACACTCACCTGCTCCAGACACCAGGTGGGTGGGTGTGGGTGGAGGTGAGCCTGTGGGTCTGGAAGCAGGAAGTTGAGGGAGTTGTCTAATGGCTACTGTTTTCTTTGCGAAATAGCAGACCTGGTGAGGCATGCATGACTGTGTGAGGTGGTGGCGGGAAATGCAATTATGGGCAATGGAGGAGGAGCCGAGCTCACTCACAGAGCAACCCTTAAGCTTTTCCAAGTCCTCTCAAGGCAACCCTCCTTAACAACGGTGTCCTCACTTTCTGGTATCAAAGCTTCAAAACCAGGGCGAAAGGAGGCCTGGATCCCTGGATGCTTAGCACTAGAAAGACACTCAGAGATCTTAACTGCCATTCATTTTTTCTACTTATCTAATTAAGTAATTTACTCAGCAGAAAGCAACTAAATGCCAAAAATGTGGCCATCAACCTCTCTCCTCAGGAAGCCCTCATCTGTTGGAGGGATACTGTTTATATCTTCCCTTTTAATGAATTCCCCTTTTTTAATAAAGTGGGATTTTCCTTCACATCTCTTGCTTTCTTATCATTGTATGCCTGAATATCTTAAATGTATTCAGCTTTTACTAAAGTGAGGCCTGAATTACTTTTCTGTTTAATACTCAAGCACAATTACATAATTATTTGTAAGCAGGCAAAATTAAATTAATTCTTTAGGAGGTGGCTATAGTCTCAGGATGAAAGTTCACCATTCCTGGCACGGGATCAAGTACATTCTAAGCTCTGATAGCTTAATAATATCTCCAGTCATTGCTACTACAGTCACAAACATCTTGGCCTCCAAGGACCTCTGAATCTGACTTGATATTTTTTTCAGATTCATCCTCAAAGTATACTAGTTTTGCCCCTTGGTTCAGAATAATGACTTAAAGGTATCTCCCATCACAGCATGAAGGCATGGAGCATCTGAAGACAATCTTCTTGCAATGAAGACACGGTGAAGAGCTTATGGTGATGTCACATTGCATGGGATACAGAAGTCCACAGGTGAGCGGGGAGGGAGGGAAAGCTAAGGAGAAGGAAAAGGAGTAATAAAGATAGAGAAGTGAGATGTTATCTACACAGCATAGCTCCTTTCATAGCCCCTTTCATGCACTTTCTCAGTGGCGGATCTAGATCCCAGCCAATAACCAGCCTTGCAAGAGCTGCCCGGGACACATGAAAGCACACACATGCACGCACACACACTCACACTCACTCACTCACCCTTTACCTCCTGGCAGAAGCTGCAATAATTCTGTTAGTAAAGTATGTGATCAATCTCCCTCTGGAGTTATTCCATATTCTACCCTACTTGCCATCATTTAAAACTCTAGCACCTCATATTCTTTCACAAGAAACTTTCTGTAAGTAGCATGGAGGCCAGATAATTCGCTGCAGAGCTGTGGCATGAAAATGATGACACGTGGAGGTGAGGTGAGGAGGGGTGGGGAGGGGGCAATTCCGGGACCTTTTCACACTCATTTTCAGGGTTACAACCAGAGCGCTGGGCAGGAGGAAAGGCCAGAGAAATACATAATGTACCTCAGGGTACTGTCTATCTACTTTCTCCCCTCTCCCTTTGTACCCCAAAGAAAGGGAAAACATGCCTGGGAGAAATTACCGACTTCAATGCTACTTGTCAGTGAGACAAAAGTTCACCCTGGGATCCGCTCAGCCCATTTCCTCCTTGCCTTCCTTCAACTTAGAGATTGCTGCCAATGAGACAGAAAGGAGAAGTACCCATCAGCACGAGGCTCCAAGGGGACTGAGGTCACAGCCAGGCAATGGTAACCCCCCAAACTCCACACCAAGCCCAGAAGCAACGCTCCCGGCTGTCATTCCCATCCACACCCGCCCCGCGTTTCCATTCAAGGAGCCTCTTTTTAATGGGCTGCTTCCGTCCCAGGGCAGAAGAAGGTAAAACGTCAGCCCGCAGAGACGACATTACGAAACACGGAGCTTTTACTTTGGTAGAACCAGTGAGGGACCAGAGAGAACAATTTCCAAGGGCCCCCCTCTGGCTTCCCGGCCTCCCGGAGCTGCTGCGAGGGACTGAACATATGGACCAGTTGGCCGAGAGGCTACTTGAACAGAAAAGGGATTTCACAACCCGGAACACTCTGCGCCCTTACCTCTGATTTCCCCTCCCCAGCCGCCCCCACTCCCACCCTCCGGGTACAAGAGGACTTTTGTAGACATCAAGTCTCAGGAAACAAAGCATGCAAACACTCACACACAAATAAACTCCCCGGACTAACACGAGCGTATAATTGTGTTTTGGTTGGAGCTAGTCCAGCCTTGTCGCCCGTTCTCTGTTAGGAGCGCAGGAACCCCTGGGCTTTGGCAGAGTTAGAGACGCACAAACTCGCCTCAGTTTCGAGCTGCACAAGGCTCCAGTCATATCTCCCGGCCCCTCCGGCCCCCGACAGAATGAACTGGCTGCTGGAAAGCCAGCGAGGGGGAAAAACACACAAAAACCCGATTCCCCAAATAAAGAGCTTTCACTTCCCCCCCTCCCTCCGCTTCCCCTTTGAGCCTGGAACACAGGGCGGTTCTCATCTCCCGAACCCTTTTCCAGGGACCCTGCACTCCGAGGACTCCTCCCGGGCCGGGCTGCGGGCGGTCCCGGTGCAGGCGGCGCTTTCCCGAGCACAGTTTGCATTCTCGGAGGCGATGTTTCCAGAGAAATCGACCACGCAGCCCTCTGTGGTCTGCCCGGGAGCTGCGTCCAGCCCCCCCTCCCAGGGGCTTAGAGGGGCTGTTGGGTGGGGAGGGCGCAGAGTGAGGTGCCCGCAGCTCCCACAGGGCAGGGAAGGGAACAAAGTGCCCACCACCCCGGCAGCACTCCCCTCTGCTCCCTCCAGCGCCCTTCTTCCTCCACATTCTCCCGCCGCCCGGGCCGCCCCCCCCCCCCCCCCCCCCCCCCCCCCCCAGAAATCAGAGTCCTACCTTCCCGGGATTCCTCGGCCTCGGAGTGCATGGTGTCGGGGTCCCCCGCTGCTGCAGGGCGGCCACCTCGGGACCTGCACTCGGACCGGCCACAAGTTCGCCTCGATTGCCAAACCCAAACGCGGCGACGCAAAAATAAAAGGAAGGAAAGCCACTAAAATCAAAACCTCCCCGGGGAGGGCGGGCTGGGTACGAGCGGGGATTTTAAGGGGGAAAGTTCTGCGAGTGACGAATCGCGGCTCAGCTGGGCGGCAGGAGTCCGCCCCCGGCGCTCGCCCCGGCCCAGCCCTTCCAGTCCCGGCGGAGGGACCTGGCGGCCCGGGGCAGCCCAGACCCCAGCCTGGCTCTCTGAGAGGCTGGGCAGAGGGGTGCGGTCGGCAAAGCGGCAAAGGAAACTGAGACAGGCTGGGCCAGCGAAATGCATGTTCAGTAAAGTTGAGAGAGAGAGAGAGAGAGAGAGAGAGAGAGAGAGAGAGAGAGAGAGAGAGAGAGAGAGAGAGAGAGAGAGAAAGCGCGCTGCACGTAGTAAAGGCATTAGCAGTACAGGGAAAGTTTCTGACATTTTTTCGATGCCCATTTAGCTTTCCTTGTTTGGGGGTGGGGGGTAGGAGGGGGAGTCTTAGACGCCCATGAATTGGGGACTTTAAAGCTGCTCGGTTTGGCACATTACTTTGGCAGGAAGGTAAAGTGGACATGGGTCCATGTGACTGGGAGGACCTGCTTCACAGGAGGGTCTTTGGAAGAGAGAGGGGACGGCGGCCTTCACTCCTCACCTGGCCCTGGGAAAGCAGACCCGCAGCTCACTCGGTGTAACTGGGCGAGCCCGGTGCTCACAGCCCAGCCCGGATGCGCCAGGTGCTCTGCCGGCACCCAAGGGCCATCCTCAGAGAGGGAGCGCCTTTCCCTCCTCAGAACAGTCCTGGATACACTCCTTCAAAATGCCCAAGGCGGGTGTAGGGGAGTAGGGAGGAGGTGGGGGATGTATCCAAGCATTTGAAATGCTGTTAGAATAAAGAGTCCTGAGGGTCCTGAGAACGGATCTTAATTCTGCCCCCCTGGTCTGGTCCTACAATTGGCTGAGAGGAAGGCATTTTGGCTTAGCCAAGCCTTGGTTTTTACTTTGGAGAAGTGGGGCCAAGGCCTGCCATCGATATATACGTGTCTTATGGAGAAATTTACAGAGCGATTAGAAAAATGTGAGAGAAGTTATATTCTTTCAATAAATTTATTTCCAGATGTTTTCCTCCCTCATTTCCCATTTTTATATGGGGCCAAGGGGGCAAGAGGAAAGGCACTATGATAAACTTAATAAAAACAATATACAGCAATGGAGGGGGGGAATGAGGAACATTTGTAATAATATGAACAATAAAGATTTGTTTAAAAAACATACAAAATATATGGATTTAAAGAGCCTGAATTAAAATGTAGTTCTGCCATTTATTATTTGATCATATTAATGAACTTCTCTGAGCCTTCCTTTTCTCATCTGGAAAATGGGGATAAAGGTAGTATTATTTACTTCACAGATTTGTGTTTGGTGTTGAATAAGGTAATATAGACAAATTATTTGAAAACCACAAAGTACCACGCAGATTATTACAAATTATCACACCATAAAAAGTAAATTTTTGTAAAATATGCCCTTGGGTTTTATTTCAATATTGGAGTTGAACAGAAAAAAAATATTTATGCTATTCACAAGCAAAGAAGGCTATTATAAATGTTAATATAAGGCCTAGATATAAAATCACTTCCAACTGCTGAGTGATTCTAACATGCCTAAGACCCAAGCAGGATTTTATCTCAATATCACTGTCAGGGAAGGCTGATGAGAGGAAGACATCGCCAGCAGAGAGGAAAGAAGAGGAGAAACATCTGGAAAACATCAGTACTGCAGAGCCTCCCAGAAATGGACCTCCCCACCAACAGGGTAACAAGCTGTATCCCCTCCCCTGAAAGTCACAGCTCACAGCGAGGTCCCTCTGCTACTCTTTAGGCAGGAGCGGCTCAGGTGTGCCCTCCACCCAGCAAGTGCTCATATTCATGGAAGAGACAAGAGGATCATTCCAAATCCAAAGAAATGCTCCCTCACTAGTCAGAAGCGACCTTGCCTGTCCTGAGGAAAGGGCATTCTGGGAGACCACCACCATCTGTCTTTGCCCTCCCTCACAGCAGCCCAGATGTCCCCCTCCCATCCCCCTGCCCCAGCCCTGCAGGATCTCATCAGGACTGCACACTGCACAAAAAAGACAGCTCCTGATCATCTATAATTGGAGGAAGACGCAACACCTTTTCAAGGTGATGATGATGCAAAGCCAGGCAACCCAAATCCCAGGCCCCATCCACCACAGGCAGTACTCACTTTCAACCTCTTCTTTCAGCAAGTGCCCCCTTAAGAACTGTTCCTTAAATGTCCTTTTGCAAGTCTAATGATATACAAAGCACTTAAGGTGCTTCAAAATACAGGCCCCTAATGTCCTACTTGTTTTTCCACGGGGCTCCCCAAAAGACCTTCAGCCCCGCTCAGATTAGCCAAGGAGAACAACTGCTGAGTGAATGGTTCAAACGCTGCCAAGTCAGCCTTGAAATTCAATTTAGAGTCATTTCAGCCGCTCGGGTGATCTTTGGACATTCACCATGATCCTCAGGAAACCTGGAGAGGAACTTACTGTCCTGATCTAACTGATGTACAAGAAATGCTCGGCTTATTTATTTTACTAGTAAAAGTATGTGGATAAGGATGCTCCTCACTCACCTGTACAACCTCAAAGCCCTCTACATTCCTGGGCTACACTGCCCCATGCCCCACCCTGCAAAATGGTGACAAAAGGCCGCTGGTTCTCCGGGATTTCCACAAACACATTGGGTCAGTCACTGCCTCTTGATTTTGGCTCTGTGTTTTTTGTTTGTTTTGTTGGTTATTGTTAATAATTCTCACCTGAGGATATTTTTCCTTTTTTTTTTTTAGAGAGAGAGAGAGAGTGGATGGGAGAGGGAGAGACAGAAACATCGATGTGAGAGATGCACATTGACTGGTTACCTCCCACATATGTCCTGAGCAGCCAGGGATCAAACCTGCAACCGAGGCATGTGCCCTTGGCCAGGAATCAAATCCAAACAGGCTGATGCTCTATCCACTGAGCAAAACTGGCTAGGACTTGTTCTGCATTTATTCAAAAGGGGATTATATTATAGCTCCTTTCTAGCCCTAGTGAATAATGCTTTAGGATATCATAATGATTTATCTCCTGTAGGTGGAGCCTGTTCACTCTTGTACGTTTAAGAAATACTCCAACATCACTTTGTGTGGCTTGGAAAGTGCTTGCAAGTCATACCGACAATATATTATAGACAATGTGATTTAACTCCTACCCATGTCTTACCACGAATCTCCCGCCTTCTGTGTCAAGATGGGAGAGTAAAATGCTGTTTTTTTCAGTCAGTCATGATCAAATATTTACATGTGACACAGGAAAGGGAGCCCCACTGATACGGACTTTACTGCTATAATTTTGGTAATTTTGACCACAGAACTAAAGAACTCAATCTTCCATGTCATCTTGGTTCTAAGGAAAGTTTATTCATACCATATTTAAACTGCACTTTAGCACAGAATAGCAGAAAAATCTCATCTTAAATTATACCTCAAAAAGCTGTTAAAATTTTTTTTTTTAAGCCTGGGATTTTGGGCCTTTTGCTCATAGCTGCTCAGATGTCTGTTAAGAACAGGGGATCAGGAAGCAACTGATCGATGTTTCTCTTTCACATGAAGGTTTCTCTCTCTCTCTAAAATCAATAAACATATCCTCAGGGTAGGATTTGGAAAGTAAAAGAATGGGGGAGGTCAGCAAGTTGTTAGACAAATGAGAAAGCCAGCAAGCCTGGGAGAAGAAGGTGCAGTTTGTTTAGGAGGAATCATATACTTTGCTCACATCAAGAATGTTGTAGGATCTTTGCAGTGAAAAATACTAAGCAGCTCTGGAAATTAGTTATATACCTACAGTTTCTAGGTCATAAGAAACCCAGGTCACAAAAACAGTCATTTGATCAATATTTTTATTTCTATCCTGCTGATAGGACTGAATCTGTATATATAAGATTATGTTTATACTTGGTATCAAAAGTAGCTTTCTTCTATTTGACTTTGAGGCTTCCCTCAATTTATCTTGGATTATGTCTATACCTTTGAATGGCTTTTAAGACTTCCATGATCTATATGTAAAGCTGGTTTTCAGTCTTTCTATTTACATGTAAAAGATCTGTGATTTCAGTCTCATGTGGTTGGGGCCACAGGGCCTGCATCTTTCTCACCCTCCTTGGACACTCTGATGTATTTAACCTTACAAAAGAGGGGAAGGACTCAATGGGTATCTCTCCACAGCCCCTGGGGTGCACCAATGACAGTGGAGGTAGGTGACGTAAGCACCTTCTCAGGAGGCCATGTCCTGTGTCTCAAGAGTTCTTCAGCTTATGCACTGCTGGGTACTGGAATTAGGTTGGGGTCTTTGGAGGCAGGGGAATGGGACAGAATGCTCCGAATCAAGGAAGAACATGAGAGTGAGTGTGGAGATAGAAGAGGGGAGAAAGCTGCTGCTGGGCCCTGCCTGGAAGTTTGCAGTTTGTTATGGGTAAACCCTCTCCTTAGTGACATCTTTAATGTATCCTCCTGGCTCCCTAGTGCGCTGGTGTGAGGAGAGGATTCTGAGGGAACAGAAGAAGTGCTGACACCTATGGTGAGCCCACACACAGTGCAACAATGCACCTGGGATGCAGTTGTCTTCGAGGCTTTCATTGTTTGCTCTTATTTCTCTAAGAAAACTTCCTTGCTAAAAAGTTTTTAATAAATTAAGCACACACATACTCTCAAAACAGGTCTGAAATTATTATTGAAAGAATGTATGACTTATGATTTTTCTTTTATAACACTTAGCAATGATGCCTGTATAGGTTTCATTCAGACATTCCAATTAGCTCCCTTGGGTCATCATACCCATTTTGCAGATGTGTAATTAAAGAAAGGGAGGTTAC